TCCTCCTCCTCCTCCCCTTCTCCCTCCCCCACCTCCCTCCTTCCCTTCTCCCTCCCCACCCTACTCCTTCCCTTCTCCCTCACCCCACCTCCTCCTTCCCTTCTCCCTCCCCCACCCTACTCCTTCCCCTTCTCCCTCACCCACCCTCCTCCTCCCTTCTCCCTCCCCCACCCTCCTACTTCCCTTCTCCCTCCCACCCTACTCCTTCCTTCTCCCTCTCCCACCCTACCTTCCCTTCTCCCTCCCCCACCCTCCTACTTCCCTTCTCCCTCCCCCATCCTCCTACTTCCCTTCTCCCTCCCCCTCCCTCCTTCTCTGCCATACCAACCTCCCCTTCCTCCCTTTTACTCAGCCATACCAACTCCTTCTCCTCCCCCCTCCTTTACCATACCAACCTCCCCCCTCCTCCGCCATACCAACCCCTTCTCCCCCTCCCTCCTCCGCCATACAGACCTCCCCCCCTCCCCCTCCTTCCTCCGCCCACACCAACCCCTCCCTCCCCCTCCCTCCTCCTCCCACACCAACCCCTCCCTCCCCCCTCCCTCCTCCGCCACACCAACCTCCCCTCCCTCCCTCCTCTACCTACCCCCTCCTCCCCCTCCCTCCTCCGCCACACCAACCCCTCCTCCCCCGCCACACCAACCCCTCCTCCCCCTCCCTCCTCCGCCACACCAACCCCTCCCCCTCCCTCCCTCCTCCTCTTCCAGTCCGACTCGGGATAAAATCCTCGTCCGACTAATTAACTGAAGCTCCAGCCTCGATCTGACAAATTATCCTTAATGGCCGACCGTCAACTGCCCGCTAAACTGACAAATTGGCCCACTGGCGCGCCGCCTATATCACTTTCCGCGGGCGTGGGGGAGGCGGCGCAGAGGCTCCGCGGGCGTGAGAAGATAGCGCGACGCGAAGAGTTACTCTGGAAGTCAGCCTCGAGTGTCAGGTTCGCGGGCGAGTCTGGAGGAGCGCCGGGCCACACGCGGGCGCGACTCGGCGAGACGTCAGCGCCGTCAGCACCTTCGCCAGCCGCATCGGAACGGCGCCGGGGCCCGACACGGCAGGGCGCGCTGGGCCGTCGTGTGCGAGGGTCGAATGTGGTGCAAATTACATGCCGCGGTCCAGGGTGATGGATGACCCTCCTCCGCGCTCGCCTCCTTCCCCCGGTCCTCCTGCTCTTCCTCTCCCCTTCCTACCAATCTTCCTACTATTCCTCCTCCTCTCTCACCCCCCTTCCTCCTCCTCCTCCTCTTTCCTACCAATCTTCCTCCCTTTCTATTTCCTACCATTCCTCCCCCTCCTCTACTCCCCTTACTACCAATCTTCCCCCTTTCCTCTTCCTACCCTTCCTCCTCCTCTTCTCTCCCTTCCTCCTCCTTCTCCGCCACGGTCCCATCCCACGATGCCTCACATCCCCAACTCTGCCCATCACTCACGCACACCTGCCCTCCCTCACCACCTCACTAACCCCGGCCCCTCACTCCGCTACGGGACGCACCATCACTCTACCTGTACCCCACCACCCCTCCAACCCCCATTACCCCTACCACCCCCTCCAACCCTCCAACCCCCATTACCCCGCACCACCCCCTCCAACCCCCCATTACCCCGCACCACCCCTCCAACCCCACCTCCCCTCCAACCCCCCCAACCACCCTCCCAACCCCCCCACCACCCTCTCCAACCCCCCTACCACCCCCTACAAACCCCCATTACCCAGACCCCCCTCCAACCCCCCAACCCCACCCCCCCTCCCTCTATTTACAAACAATGGCGGTCGCGCGAAGCACCCTCGGCAGGCCGGTTACAGATACGGAGACGACGCTAAAATCAATGTCACATTATATATCGAAATCTGAGGCCATTGTCCCCCCGATTCCCGTTAAGAGAGAGGAAAGGAAGGAGGGAGGGAGGGAGGGAAAGGAGGGAGGAAGGAGGAGGGAAGGAGGGAAGGAGGGAGAGGGAGGGAAAGGAAGGAGAGGAGGAGGAGGGAGGGAGAGGGAGAGGGAGAGGAGAGGGAGAGGGAGAGGGAGAGGAGAGAGAGGGAGAGGGAGAGGGAGAGAGGAGAGAGAGAGAGAGAGAGAGAGGAGGGAGAGAGAGCGAGAGAGAGAGAGAGAGAGAGAGAGAGAGAGAGAGAGAGAAGAGGAGAGAGAGGAGAGAAAGAAAACAGAAAGATAAAGAAAGAGAAGAGAGAGAGAGAGAACAAAATGACCATCAGACAAGAGTCAAACACACAACAACAACAGCAAACGGAATGCCCCGGCGTGTGAATGTGAGTGCACGTGCGCGTGTCCCAAGGCGAGCGTTTGTGGGCACGCGGATCCCCCAGACACACATGTCCAAAGACAAAAAATATATATATATATATATATAATATATAAATAAAATAAAATAAATAAAATAAATAAATAAAATAAAAAAATGTCCAGAGCGATATCCCCAAAATTATTTCTCATCCCGTGGCGACAAAAGCGCTTGGTCGCCACCCAGCCACGGGGAGAGAAACAAAAGAATAAAAAATAACGTTCCGAGAAAGAAGAGAGAGAAAGAAAGAAAAAGAAAAAAGAATGGAGGGAGGGAGGAGTATGGAGGAGGAGGTAATGGGAAGGGAGGAGGGAGTAGGGGGGAAGAAGGAGGGAGTGGTAGTGGGGGAGGAAAGGAGGAGGAGGTATGGGGAGAAGGAGGGAAGGAGGTAGGAGAGGAGGGAGGGAGGGAGGTATGGGAAGGAGGGAGGGAAAGGAGGGAGAGGGGAGGGAGGGAGGAGGAGGGAGAAGGAGGAGGAAGGAGGAGAAGGCTAGGATAGGAGGGGAAGGAGAACAGTAAACCCAGCCTTGCTTTACCAGCACTCGCATACTGCAGCATTGTGTTCCTTTAAATAATGTTTAGTGATCTTATCGGCTAATCTGCGATCAGGTCTTCTTTACGAGAGGTCTAGCATCGTTATCGGTAGGTGGTGACCTTGTGTAGAGGAGGGGTAGGGGTAGCTGGTAGAGGGGTAATGGGGTTTGAGGGGTAAGGGGGTATGGGATAAGAGGGTAGAGGTTAGCAGGGTAGAGGGGGTAGAGGGTATTGGGGTAGAGGGGTAGAGGAGGGGAAGGACCGGGTAGGGGGGGGGCGGTAAAGGATAGGGGGATAACGGAGGGGTGAGGTAAAGGGTAGGAGCATGAGGGTAAATGGTAGAGGAGGAGGAGGAGGGGAAGAGGACGGGAGCTGGGATAAAAGGGATGAGAGGGGATGACGGAGGGATGAGGTAAAGGATAGGGAGATGAGGGTAAATGTCAGAGGAGGAGGAAGAGGGGAAGGGAGGTTGGGAGGACGGGAGCAGTAGAAGGGAAGAAAGGATAGTTTAGGAAGGATCCGATTAGGCTCGGACACGCGCAGCTCAAACCAAAGAACAGTCAAAATACATCACATTATCTTTAACAACAACGCACAGAAATCGAAAAAACACAAACAAAAACAAAAAAACAGCAACGAGACATAACGATATATAAAAAAAATAAAACAAACAACATTTAAACCCATCCGCCAGCAAGCCTCAGAGGAAAAACCTCAAGAAAAAAAGACGTTTGGTTTTACAATCTCGGAAGCCGTTCCGGGCAAAGACAGATGTCATGAGTCAGAAGCTAACCAATGGAGGGTCATGGGGGTCGAGGACGAAAAGGCAAGGTGAGTGGACAATCGGGGGGTAAAGAAAGGGGCAGGTGAACGTACAGGTGAGAAGGAGGGAAGGGGGAGGAGGGGGAGGGGAAAGGGGCAGGTGACGTACAGGTGAGAAGGGGGGAAAAGGGGGGGGCGGGGGGAAGGGGGGGGAAGGGGGGAGGGGAAGGGGAGGGGAAGGGGGGAGGGGAAAGGGGAAAGGGGAAGGGGGAGGGGAGGGAAAAGGGAAGGGGAGGGGGAAAGGAGGAGGAGAGAGGAGGAGGCAGGAGGAAGGAGGGGGAGAGGAGAGGGGGAGACCGGAAAACACGGGACATAAATGGACAGAGCCACAGCTGTCTCGACGTCGTGTAGGGGCGTATGGGAGAAATAAACGATAATGATAAAAAGGACGAACTGCTGGATCTGCATCGAGAGTGCGGGCGTGAATCGTGGGCTCTGTGGGCGTGGGTTGAGGCGGCGGGTATACAGACGTGGGCGCTAGTGTGGGCGTGAGTTGGGCAGCCTGGTGATCGGTCAAGAGTGTCAGGCAACGACCATTCAAGTGCCACTCATCCGGCCAGCATCCCCGTTCCCCTACAACGTACACACACACTTACACGTTCTCTCGTTCTCTCCATCGTGTCTCTTCTCTCTCTCTCTCTTCTTCCACTCTCTCTCATCTCTCTCTCTCTCTCTCTCTCTCTCTCTCCTCTCTCTCTCATTCTCTCTCCTCTCTTCTCTCTCTCTCTCTCTCATTCTCTCTCTCTTTCTCTATCTCTCTTTCTTCTCTCTCTATCTCTCTTTCATTCTCTCTCTCTCTCTCCCTCATTCTCTTTCATTCTCTCTCTCTCTCTCTCTCTCTCTCTCTCTCTCTCTCTCTCTCTCTCTCTCTCTCTCTCTCTCTCTCTCTCTCTCTCTCTCTCTCTCTTCTCTCTCACGCGCTCCCCGCTCTTTCTCTCTTTATTAAACCCAATCCTTGGCCTGATATCTACTTACTGCACAAAATAGTAATAAGCAACACTAAAAACATCCTTTTCCAATCCCCTCGCGAGTGACTTCAATCGCACAGTAGATACCTATCCTTGCACTATCTTCGTCAGCCGGAGATTCAAACGGGACCGTGCCTTGTCGTACCTCCCCCCCCTCCCCCTCCCCCCCCCCCCCCCCCTCCCGTAAGACGACACTTCCAAGAGATCAAATATGGAACGGAGAGAAATCCGGACTTGCGATCCTTCTCATCCGCGCCGTCCCGGGATCAGACACGCGCGACGTCACCGGCCAACCTCTCTCTCGGCCGCAAGAAGCCATTGTTCTCTCGACGCACATCCACCTTCACGTCTCCCGCTGACGACGTCGCAGACACTCACCGTTCCTGGGGGGCATCGACGCCACGCTCCCCGCCAGCAGCAGGGCCGCCGCGGCGATCAAGTAAGGGCCGCCCCTGCAGCGCCGCCGCCTGCCGCCGAGCTCCGCCATGGCGCTCGCTCCTGAAGCTCGTTGTCCCTCCCCCTCGTGCTGGGGGCCGAGCAGAGGGTCCCCCGCCCGCCGCCGCCCGCCGAGTCCGCAGACGGTTCCTGAGCCGGTCGTCCTGCTCCTCAGCGCCGCCTCCTGGCCACCATCACCTCCACCAGGTCTCCGGGGCGCCCGCGGGGCTCTGGGGAAAGGAAGAAGAAATTCGAATTAATATCAGCCGCCATTTGGCACAGCGGGGGTGTAATCTGGCCGCTGATACGACCAGTTATCATAATTTATGTCCGAGCCTTAATGTGAGAGCGGCTCGTACTTTGGCGAAGCGATGATCGTAAACCGTCAAATTACGGCGCCGCGCCCGGGCCGGCCATCGCGCGCCGGGATGAAGGAACGCAAAGGCATAAATCTTCGCGCCGATCTCCCGGACGCGGCCGGAGCCTCCACGCCCGTGCGCCGAGCCTCGAGCCTTCCCTCCGCCGCCCTGTCGCGCAAGCCGCGCCCTCCGCCCTGCATTCCGGCCTCGCTCGAGTGCCTGCCCGAAGCGGGAACGGCAGCGGGCGCGCGTGCAGCCACCCGTACGGCGCCCGTGCAACCCGGGTCGTGCAAGCGCCAGGTGTGCATGCACGACCCGGCCCGCGCAAAAACAATCGCGCCCTAAAAAGTCCTCAGAAAACGCGCAGAAACAGAAAGAGAAGACGATCTCGGCGTCTCATTTCACAAAGCTTAGTACTTCTTGTCCCTCTCCCGGTGTCCCTCATATTTTTATTTCCTCCTCCTCCTCCTGGGCAGAAAAAACTTAATCATCCTAAATTACACAGGTAACCCTCATCGGCCAATCCTTACACCCACCCACCCACACACACACGTACCACACACACACACACACACACACACACAACGTACACATACACACACACACCACACACACACACACACACACACACATTCACACCACACATCACACACACACACACATTATTCACACCCACACATCACACCGAGACTCCGCTGCGCCTCCGACCTGAGACCTGACAGAATGTAAACAGCATCCCCCCTCACCCCTCCCCTTTCCCCCCTCTTCCTCTTCCCCCTTCCCCTTCCCCCCTCTTCCTCCTCCCCTTCCCCCTCCCCCCCTCCCTTCCAGCTCTCTTTCGCGTCGGGATGCGATTCGGCGAGAAGGGATGTAGGATTCGGGCCGCCGCGAGGTCCCGCAATTCATCTTTCTCGCGAGGGAGGGGAAGGGAGGAGAGGGGAGGGGTAAGGAGGGGTAAGGAGGGGAAAGGGATGGAGGAGAGGGAAAGGGATGGGGATGGAGGCGAAAGGAGGGGAGGGGAGGAGTAAGGGTGGATAAGGGAGGGGAGAGCGAGGGAGGAGGAAGGGGACAGGAGATATGGAGGAGAGGGGAAAGAGGAGGGATGGAGGGATGGGAGAGGAGGAAATGGGAAGAAAGGAGAGGGAAGGGGAGACGGGGAAATGGGAAGAAAGGAGAGGGAAGGGGAGAGGGGGAAAGAGGAGGAAAGGAGAGGGAAAGTCAGAATAAAGGGGAGGAGAGAAGGGGAGAAAGAGAGAGAAGCAGAGAAAAAAATGAAGAGAAAGGAGAGAAGATGGGAAGAGATGAAACAGAAGGGAAGGGACGAAGGGAACGCTCTCTACGGAAATAACCAAAACAACGCGACCTGACCCCCTCCAACCTCCTCTCCAACTGCAAACAAACTACGACCATGAGACTCCCACAACCGCCCCACAACGCCAACAATAACAACAACCAACAAGACCCACCAAATAAACCCTCTAAAAATAATTGAAAAAACAACAACTCCAAAACTATCAATGAATTAAGAAATAAACAGCCATTAATATCAATGAATTAAGAAATAAAAAGCAATTAATATCAATGAATTAAGAAATAAAAAGCAATTAATATCAATGAATTAAGAAATAAACAGCCAATAATATCAATGAATTAAGAAAATAAAGAAGCCAATTAATATCAATGAATTAAGAAATAAACAGCCATTAATATCAATGAATCAAGAAATAAACAGCCATTAATATAAATGAATTAAGAAATAAACAGCCATTTCCCCGCCTTCCGACCTCCCTCACGCCCGCGCTGCACAGGCTCTCACGCCCACGCACCAGCCTTAGATTCCACCAACTTTATATTCTCGGACAAAAAATAATTAATTAACCGAGACCCCATGCTCTCGCTCGCTCACCAGGGGGGGGTATGGGTGGGTGGGGGGTTGTAGGTGGATGGGTGGGTGGATGGTGTAGGTGGATGGGTATGGGCGGTGGGTGGATAGGTTTAGGTGGATGGCGGTGTGGATGGATTGTAGGTGGATGGGCGGTGGTGGATGGATTGTAGGTGGATGGGCGGGGTGGATAGGTTTATAGGTGGGATGGGTGGGGTGGTTGGTTGTAGGTGGATGGGGTTATAGGTGGATAGATTGTTAGGTGGATAGATTATAAGGTGGATGGGCGGTGGGTGATAGATTGTAGATGGATGGGCGTGGGTGGATTAGGTTATAGGTGATAGATTATGGTGGATGGGGCAGGGGTTGGATAGGTTATAGGTGGATAGATTATAAGGTGGATGGGCGCGGGGTTTGGATAGGTTATTAGGTGGATTGGGCGGGGGTGGATTAGGTTATAGGTGGATGGGGTAGGTAAGTGGGTGGGGTGGCTGGATAGTTTATTAAGTGGATGGGCGATAGGTAGGCGGGCTACAGGTAGGCGTGGGTCAGAGGGTGGCTAGGATGGCGGTGGGAAGGTGGAACTCTGGGGGATGATCTATGGGCATAATGTTGCCACAGGAAAGTTTCTTAAGTGAGGGAAAGACTTTACAAACATATGCAACGAGTCAGAGGCGTCTGTGCGGATAGGTGGATAGGTGGATGGGCGGATAGGTGGATTGGGCGGATAGGCGGATTGGGCGGCATGGGTGGATAGGAAGATGGGCGGATAGGAGATGGGTGAGATAGGCGGATGGTGGATAGTTGGATAGGCGGATGGGTGGATAGGTGGATGGGTGGACATGGCGGATAGGTGATGGGTGGACCGGATGGGCGGATAGGCAGATGGGATGTGACATGACCAGCCTACCCTCTTGGCCATCCATCTCTTAAAATTCCAACATTTACCTTGTCGAAAAAAGCTAAGCAACTCGAATCAAATCCTTCTATTCTTCTTGCAGTTATCTTCCCGTCCATTCTGTCCTACAAATTGCAATTTTCTTGCGCCGTGTTCATCAATGACACTATTAGGAGCCGGACACGCTAATGAACGAATGACGAGAAGGGCTAATGAGCAATAAAAAGCTAAAAAAAAAAAAAAAAAAAAAAAAAACAATGAACACGGAGAGACCAGCTCAATCAAGGACCATCTTAAAACCACGTCACACGCGCCTCACTAATGAATACATCTCCTCAGAAGAACCCTTCCTTCCCCCCTCCAAAGACACTTCTTAAGAACTTGTAAATGTCTGTCACTCCAAAAAAAAAAAAAAAAAAACCCCCCCAAAAAAAAAAAAAAAAAAAACAATCCTGACACACGCCAGCGACCGGCGACACCCCGCCATCACGAGCAGCATTCCTCTCTATGGCGAACAGCACATTTCCCTCCCAATGACACGGATACCTACAAGCGAATCCCATTACCCGGACCCCGTTTCCCCCCCCCCTCTCTCTCTCTCTCTCTCTCTCTCTCTCTCTCTCTCTCTCCTCTCTCTCTCTCTCTCTCTCTCTCTCTCTCTCTCTCTCTCTCTCTCTCTCTCTCTCTCTCTCGAGTCCACGGGCTACGAGCCGAGGCACTCTTAACAAGGTCTATATAAGTACTTATATGGACTTTGCTCTTGACGGGAAGGAACTCGCGCCCGCCAGACTGCGAGACGCGGGCGGGCCGTGTCGACGCGATGTGCAAACGAGACTGGACAGAACGCGGTTAAAATGTCGACGATAAAGATAAAACACAATTTAAAAATGATAAAAGTGAGGAGATATCATATCAGATGCGTAACCGTGCGACGGGACTTGAAAGCGCACGGAAGCAATAATAATAATAATAATAATAATAATAATAATAATAATAATAATAATAATAATAATAATAATAATAATAATAATAATAATAATAATAATAATAATAACAATAGCCACTAGACAATCAGGAAAGGAATTAAAGCCATGAACACCAAACATCATTTAACTCCCGGAGTCCGCACTGAACGAGGAAAAATTAACAGGAAAACAAGCAAGCAAACAAACGCGTCTAAACCTAGCGACCTTCCTCCCGCAACGAGCAAGCAAGCAGAGCACAAGCGCCGCCTGCCTGGACGCAATCGACGAGACATGATCGCCGTCGTGTCGATTCGCGGGCGGAGGCATCGCCACGCCGCCCGCGACAGCACACGCTAACGACTTTCGGAACTGCGGAGACACTCACCCGCGACCTTGGGTTTCGCTCGAAAGGCGATCGGACGGGCTCTCTCTCTCTCTATTTCTCTCTCTCTTTCTCTCTCTCTATTCTCTTTCTCTCTTCTTCTCTAATTCTCCTTTCTCTCTCTCTATTTCTCTTTCTGATTTCTCTGATTCCTCTCTTTCTCTAATTCTCCTTTCTCTCTCTCTATTTCTCTTTCTGACTCCTCTTTCTCTAATTCTCCTTCTGTGTCATCTTTCTTCATTTGTGTTTCTCTCTCTCTCTCTCTCTCTCTCTCTCTCTCTCTCTCTCTCTCTCTATTTCTTTTTCTCCTATCTCTATCTCTTACTTGCTTTCCTCTGCCTATCTCTTTCTCTCTCCTCTCTCTCTTATTTCTCTTTTATCCTATCTCCTCCTCTTGTTTGCTCACTCTCTCTCTCAACTATACCTTGCTTTACTTTAATTATGAATTCTATTTCCTCCTCTCTCTTCGAATCATTTCACGCCCTTAGACAAGAATCCTTATGCGGAACACACACAGAACAAAAGAAAGAGAGAGAGAGAGAGAGAGAGAGAGAGAGAGAGAGAGAGAGAGAGAGAGAGAGAGAGAGAGAGAGAGAGAGAGAGAGAGAGAGAGAGAGAAGAGAGAGACAGAGAGAAGAGAAAAATGAGAGAATTTTTTACCGAGAAGAGAGAGAGAGAGAGAAAAAACGAGAGAGAGAAGAGACCGAGAGAGAGAAAGAAAGACAGAGACAGACAGAGAGAGAAAAGAGAGAGAAGAGAAAGAGAAAGACGGACAACGAAGGGGAAAAACAAAACGAAAGACGAGCGACAGTCCGCCACGCAGCTCAAGCACGACACCTCCGCCATCCCCCTCATTTGAAACTATTACGTCTGAGCCACGCAGCCATCCATCACGCCCGCGCCGCCCTCGACCGTCATGCGCCCACAATCTACTTTATGTAAATCCCCCTGCCACGCCCGCCCACTCCTGCCCGCCCGCCCGTATCCCAGCGCCCGATTGCAGGGTGCCGACGCCAGGGGTTCGCCAAGGGGGGCTCTCTTCTCACTTTCTGTCTCTCGTCTTTCTTCCTTAATTCTCACTTTCTAATCTCTCGTCTTTCTTCCTCCTTTCATTCTCACTTTCTATTCTTGTCTTTCTTTCTCTTTTAATCTCACTTTCTATCTCTCGTCTTTCTTCCTCCTTTCATTCTCACTTTCTGTCTCTCGTCTTTCTTCCTCATTCAATTCTCACTTCCTTCCTCCTTAAATTCTCACTTCCTTCCTCCTTAAATTCTCACTTTCTATTTCTTGTCTTTCTTTCTCATTAAATCCCCACTATTTCTTGTCTTTCTCCATCCTTTAATTCTCACTTTCTATCTCTCGCCTTCCTTCCTCATTTAATCTCACTTTCTATCTCTCGTCTTTCTTCCTCCTTTCATTCTCAATTTCTATTCCTTGTCTTTCTTTCTCCTTTAATCCCCACTTCCCATCTCTCGTCCTTCTTCCTCCTTCAATTCCCACTTCCCATCTCCCGTCTTTCTTCCTCCTTTCATTCCCACTTTCCATCTCTCGCCTTCCTTAAATTCCCCAAACCAAGGAAGAAACCCCGGGAAGAAACCCCGGGATGCTGGGTGGTCGGATAGCCAGGAAAGTCTCTCGTCTCTCTTCCTCACTCAATTCTCACTTTCTATCTCTCGTCTCTCTTCCTCCCTTAATTCTCACTTTCTATCTCTCGTCTCTCTTCCTCCCTTAATTCTCACTTTCTATCTCTCGTCTCTCTTTCTCACTTTCTATCTCTCGTCTCTCTTCCTCCCTTCATTCTCACTTTCTATCTCTCGTCTTTCCTCCTCCTTTCTCTTTCCTGCCTTTCTCCATCTTCCAACTTCCCATCTCCCATCACTCGGGAATACTCGCAAACCTTCTTCGGACAAGAGGCTCGGTGTGGCCTGTGCGTCAAGCTTTGTATTTACTTGGGACTGGGTTCAAAGTTTTCCATATTTAGGAGGCGCCAGAATCTTATTGTGATTATGTCGACAGTTATAGAAAAAAACAAATCACACCTATAATTCAATAAACAAAAAGAAAATAATAACAAAAAAATAAATAGATGAAAAATAAATAAAAATTAAATAGATGAAAAATAAATAAAAATTAAATATGATTAAATAAAAATAAAAATTAAAAAAATATAGATACAAATAAATAGAAAATAAACTAAAATAAAAGCATAATAAATAAAAATAACAAGATAAAACGCGTGATCTTGCGAGAGCGACCAACTACTTCAAAAAAAATTTCGCATAAAATTAATTTTTACTCTCACTACTTTCCATTTCCACTTTTTTTTTTAACGAATCCCAACGAAGCCTTACCTCTCACGACGCCGATCGAAGTCGTTTCCTTCCAAAAACGAACGTAAAAACCCGCGTGCACTCGTTATTTCGTTTCCCTCCCGTGTTTCAGCCTCCGAGGGGGAAAAATTAAGTTCCGTTTCCCAGAACACAAATCAACACCTTTCACTTTCACACCAAATTCCTCCACTACCGCGAGGACCCCGACATTTCCACAGGGTATATTTCCACGCACTTTCTTTCCTCCACCCGAGAGCACGACACGGCACGACCACAAGCTCCGCCGTACAGAGTATTTTCCACGCTCGCTCCCGTGCCCGCCTGCCCGTAGCCTCTCTCTCTCTCTTTCTCGCTCGCGCGCGCACACACCCTCCTCCGATGGTATTCCTGGGTACACTAAGACCAACAAGTGCCACGCTGGTCACTTGAGACACTCGGAGCCCTCCCCTTCCCTTCCCCCCCTCTCCCCTCGCCCGCTCCCTCTCCCCTGTGCCCGGTACCCTGGAGCCCCGCCCACCGCTGGGGCACCCTAGGCCTCCCATTGGCCGACCGAGTCCCTCAACTTGACCCTACTTCCGGACCTTCGCGGCCGTGATTGGGGGCTCCTGAAATAGGGTAGGGGGGTCCTGGGGGGGGGGGGGACAGTCCAAGGAGAGGTGGCAGGGGGAGTGATGTCCAAAAGGAGGGGGGAGGACAGTCCAGGGGAGGGAGGGGTGGGGACAGTCCTAGGGAGGGGGAGGGGGAGTCCAATGGGGGGCAGTCCTATGGGAGGGGGTAGGACAGTCCTAAGGGAAGGGGAGGGGTAGGGACAGTCCATCGGAAGGAGTAGGGGTAAAGAGGAGAGGCGGGGGGAGGGGGAGGGGAGAGGACACACCCCACGATGCCCATCCCGGCCCCCTCCTCCCCCCCGTCCCCCTTCCCCATAGGCCCGCCGGAACCCCGGGGCGGAAGTAGGGATTAAGGCAGGTCCCCGCGGTAATGCTCGCCCCCCCCACCCCCACCCCCCCCTCGTGGCATCCTCGCGCTTCCTCGCCGCAGGATGAGGAGCGTGAGGCTGCTCAACTAATCCTGTGCCGCTAATGTGGGTAATGTGCTCGCGAGCCCTCTCTCTCTCTTTTTTCTCTTTCTTTCTCTTTCATTCTTTGTCTTTCTATATCTCTTCTCTCTCTTTTTATTCTCGCTCTCTCTTTCGTCTCTTCATCTCTTCTCTCTTTCTCTTTCATTTCTCTCTCTCTCTCTCTCTCATTCTCTCTCTCTTCTCTCTCTCGTCTCTCTCTCTCTATATCTCTCCTCTCTCTTTCTCTCTTCATCTCTCTCTATCTATATATATATATATATATATATATATATATATATAAATATATATATATATATAATTAATATATATATAATATATATATATTACTATATTAAAATTTAGAACAGGGATTTGTACCATATAGACGCATTGTATAAAGTGTTATGTCTGCGCGTGACCAAGCTTTGTTCTCTCTCTCATTGTTATACATGCATTTACAGACACGAATACATATTACATACAAACGCGCGCGCGGCGCACACACACACACACACACACACACACACACACACACAACAACATCAGATATATATGATATATGTATATATATATATTATATATATATATATATATACACACACATTAGCTGTGACATTAATGTCTGAGTACACATACAGCACATACAATATATATTATATATAGTGTGTGTGTGGTGTGGATGCTGCTGTGTGTGTCGTGTTGGTGTGTGTGTGTGTGGTGTGTGTATGTATATAATATATGTATGAATGTATAGCTGTATATATTATACTATATATAGTATATAATCATATTGTTGTGTGGTGTGTGTGTGTGTGTCGTGTGTGTGTGTGTGTGTGTTAGTGGTGTGTGCTGTGTGTGTGTGTAATGTATATATATATGTATATGTATTATGTATTTATATATAATATAATATATATATTATATATATATATATATAAGTTATAATATATGATATTACATATATGTCATATGTGTGGTTGTGGTGTGTGTGTGTGTGTGTGTGTGTGGTGTGTGGTGATGTACGTACTAGTGTATATGTAGTATATATATATATATATATATATATATATATATATATATATATATATTGCTAGGGAAAATATTGTGTGTGTGTGTAGTGTGTGTGTGTGTGTGGTGTGTGTGGTGTGTGTAGTATATAATATAGTTGGTGATGTATGTATAGATAATATTATACTATTTACTATATATAGTAAGTATATAGTCGGATATATTACTATACAATACTATCATGTATATATAATATATAGCATATAGTGTGTGTGCTGTGTGTGGTGTGTGTGGTGCTGTGGTGGTGGTGTGGTGGTGTGTGTGTGTGTTGTTGGTGTTATATGGTTAGTATATATAATAAGTGTGGATAGTATAGTGCTATTATATAAGGTAATATTATAGATACCTATAGCAAATATATATACATATATTACGTATATACTATACTGTGTGTGTTGTGTGTGTGTTTGTTGTGCTGTGTGTGTGTGTGTGTCTGTGTGGTGTGTGATGTGTGTGTCGTGTGGTGTCTATACTATATTATATAGGTACGATATAAGTAAGATAAGCATGATATTATAATGTAGTAGTGACTAATATATATTTTATATATATAATAGTATCATATATACGTATGTATAGTATATCGTATATATTGTAATATATATAGACTATACTGAATATGTATTATATATTTATATATATACGGTGTCGCTAGTTTATATATAGTAGGAGGAGAGGGTATATATACCTATATAATCAAAAATATATATATATATATAATTATCTATATAATATATTAATCATGACGTATATCTTACATATAATATAATACTAATAGCTACATGAATAGTATAGTAGTAGATATGTATAAAGTAATGATTATGTAATTGGTGAATGATGAGGTTGTCGAGAGTACATATATGATATAACGTATATATTATTAGTAATTAATAGCTAATAGATATATATAATATATCTATACACACAACACACATTACATACTAATTAAGTTCATAGCCTAGGCGAGGGACATGATAAGTGAGAGAACTGCGGCTTGGAGGGCTAGACGACAACATGAAGGCACACATTGATGTGGTGCGCTTTCGATGCTGTGACGGGATTGACTGCTCAATGACGGCGATTCGTGTGGGTGCGCAGTGTCTGGGTGATAGCGCATTGCTGGGCGGAGGGTCAGCTGCTTAGCTTCGTCGAACATGGCAGTCGAGGATCCACCCGGTGGGTAAAGTTGCTTGCTCATATCTACGGTATCCGGCGTCCGCGCGCCTTCACTCCCCCTCCGCCCGCAGTCCCTTGCAAGACAGAGAGTGACACGCGTGGTGCTAATGGAGCCCAGTGCCTCCCCTCGCACCCCCTTGGAACCATGTCGACGTAATCACAGAAGGATCTAGACAAGTGAGCCTGCACCTGTCCGGAAGGCCAGCGTTGGGGACGGGGGGGACAAGGAAGAGCGGGAGGAGGGGAGGGGGGGTCATGCGGCGCTGGTAGGTATGTGTTTAATACTCGTTCTAGACTTCCCTTTTTTTTTTTTTTTACAAATTCCAGCATTAGCTGTTGTCTTACGGCCGATAGAGGAATAACAAATGATAAAAAAACGGGGTGGGGGGGGGGCTCCCTTTCTTTTTACCAACAATTTCAACAATTAACCACAATAAATTTATTCATAAATAGATACCCACTCGTTAGCTAAGAAAATATAAGAAAAAGAAAAAGAAAACAAACACAAAGAATAAAACTTTCCAATACCTTCCCTTAGCTAAGAAAAAAAAAAAATGGAAAAAAAAAACAACACAACAAAACAAGAGAATAAAACTTTCCCAATACCTCTCTCTCTCCTTTCTCTCCCAATCCCCTCTTCAATTCAATCAACAACAAACGCTTTGAAAGAAACAAGAAATCCTACATTCTTCACTGAATGCTTTTTAAACAAACAACAAGTCCCTCGCCTCCCTGTTTCCAAACCTTTTTTTGTACTTAATTTACGGTCGATTATCCCCGCAATAATCGAAGAGAAACGCCCGCACGGATGTCAAAACAAACGCCATAGGAAAAATAATATATATAATTTGTTGTATTTGTCTACATCATTGCCGATAAGGGTCAAGGGAAGTCGTGATCGGCCCTGCAAATGACCCTTACGAATTGCCCGCGTGGATTGACCCCCTCCTGACCTTTTGCCGCTTAAGACGCATTCTCTTCTATTCCCTTTCCGATAATGGGGAGTATAAAAGAGAGGAAACGATTTCTCTGTCTGTTTGTCTGTGTGCGCGTCTGTCTGTCTGTCTGTCTATCTTTACTTTCTTCCTCTCACCCATCTCCACCTCTCTCTCTCTCTCTCTCTCTTTCCCCGCTACCTATTCCTATCTAATCTATCCACCCTCCCTTCCCCTTTTACTCTTCCTTCCCTTTCCACTTTTCGCTTCCCTTTCACACCTACTCCTTCCCCCTTTCCCCTCACTCTTCCCTTTCTCCCCCCATTTCCCCCTCACTCTCTTCCTTCCTCCCCTTTATTCCCCCTTTTCCCTTCCTCCCCCTCTTCCCTTTCTCCTCATTTTCCCCCTCACCCTCACTTGCTCCGTTTCGTCTCTATGATCTCTATGTTATTCCCTGAGCTCTGTTCCACCCTGCTGCATTCCCGCGGTTCCTGGGCACCATCCTATTTTCGAAGTGCTCAGCTTCACGCTGTGTCCTCCAGCTCGCGTGGCTGGGCACGCGAAGTGTCCATCCGCATGGCTCGCGCCAGAAGTAGGTGATGTAGGCAGGTCAGAGACGACTCTTTGTAGTATATTAACATCGTAGATCTCTCTGAAGATCCATGGAAAGAGCGCTGCGCTATCGTCATTTAAGTGCTGCCGACCGGCACCTATTGCTGACGCTATGATGGCACATATCCCCTCCACCTGTCCCCGTTGCTCTCACCTGACTTCTCTTCCTCCTGTTTGGCACTAGCGCGTCTTTTGACTCGACTTGTGATCC